CAGAGAGTGGGTGATGTTTTGTTAGGTGGGGTTGTTTGAAGACATGGTGTAGCACTGACCAGAGAGTGGGTGATGTTTTGTTAGGTGGGGTTGTTTGAAGACATGGTGTAGGACTGACCAGAGAGTGGGTGATGTTTTGTTAGGTGGGGTTGTCTGAAGACATGGTGTAGGACTGACCAGAAAGTGGGTGATGTTTTGTTAGGTGGGGTGGTCTGAAGACATGGTACAGGACTGACCAGAGAGTGGGTGATGTTTTGTTAGGTGGGGTGGTCTGAAGACATGGTATTTTGTGAGTTGTAGTTCTTAGTGGAAGTTTTTGCAGGGGTAAACAAATATCTAGGGTGGTACCACCACCCCAGGACTTCACCACAAATTTCTATTCATGAATACAAGCTTCCATTAATTTCTGAGATAAAGTGTTATGTGACCCAACTGTTTGCTAAGAAGTGACAAACATTTTTGACCAGTTGTCAGGATAGCACTGCATAGCAAGGAGAAATTTTTATGAACATTGTAGAGGAGGATGAAGAAGTTTTGCGACTGTTTTTAAATCATAATCAAACTGGGACCAGTAATGAAGCTGAAATTTTGCACTTAGAGCACTATAGTACCAAGTGAACCTTATACTAGTAATAACACTACCAATATGACAACACTAAGTGTTAGACGTCAAGGTAGGGGCCATGGGATGCTTTTCTTGACCATTTCAGAGAGTTGAAGTTATACTAGTAATAACAGTAAGGGTTAGACGTCAAGGTGGGGGCCATGGGATGCTCTTCTTGACCATTTCAGAGAGTTGAAGCTATACTAGTAATAACAGTAAGGGTTAGATGTCAAGGTGGGGGCCATGGGATGCTCTTCTTGACCATTTCAGAGAGTTGTTATGAAACTGGTTTTTAAGAGGCAGTCATTTTGCTCCAAGCACACTAACGTAACGTTGATGAATGACTGCCAAAAGACCAGCAGATTTGACCAATTTTCTCATTGCTGTTAGCATATGTAAAGGTGACAACAATGGAGACCTAATGCATATTTTGTTTATTTATTTTATTACTACATTCTCTCCATTATGGGCCCCTTCTAATTAGTTATGCCCCATTTACATCTTGGTATTAAACACTTTTAATTTAAATGTTTTGTTAAATTAGCAAAAATATATGTTTTGACCCAAAACAACATATAATGCCTTGTGACGTTCGAATATAGTCTAATATAAAGTTACTTCTGTATCTAATATCTTCTTTTCATCTGTATTGCTCTGAAACATTGATGACCACCTTGTCAGAAATTGTGTGTTTGGAGAGTGATTTCTCCATGACACTCAAACATTTTATTAATGTATTTTATATCTTTTATGAATGTCATAGACTCAAGTAAATCAATTTTCAAAAGTGAGTTTAACCCTATTAAAATATTTCAAAGCTTAATTTACTTATTATCTTTTTTTAGAATCATATAACTACTTTTGAATAGACAGTTTTGTCATTTGTTGCGAGTTGTGTTGCATCAGTTTTGTTTCGAATAATTAAGTATGGTTAGAGTAATATATAAAATATATATTTACAATGATATACATGGGGTAAACTTTTGTTAAAATACATATTTACAATGATATACCTGGGGGTAAACGTTTTTGTTAAAATACATATTTACAATGATATACCTGGGGGTAAACTTTTTTGTTAAAATACATATTTACAATGATATATATGGGGTAAACTTTTTTGTTAAAATATATATTTACAACGATATACCTGGGGGTAAACTTTTTTGTTAAAATACATAGTTACAATGATATACGTGGAGGTCAACTTTTTTGTTAGCTAGTTTAGAATGTGAAGTTTCATGTATTTTTATAGAAACTCATGGTTTTGAAGAAAAGTTAATACTTAAACCAAGGAGTTTTTTTGTTTGTGTCCTTATAGTTTGAAAGAGCTATTTTTACTGTCACTGGGAAAGATATCAAGACATTCCTAGAACACTGGGTGTATCCTTTAACTCGTGTTTAAAATGAGTGAATATTATCAAGTTTTAACTGCCTTGTTTTTGTTCTTGTAATCACATCTAAACTACAGTGTTTAATCAGAAGATTGGGTTAGTTAGTAAATAAACTAAAGTGTTTAATTAGAAGATAGTTTGGTGTTGTTAGTAGATTAACTACATTGTTAAACTATAATATTGTTTGGTATAGTAAGTAGATAAACTACATTTTTTAATTATAAAACTGACTGGGGAGACCAGGCTTTTTACATCGGTAAAACTTTTAATAAGCAGTTAGCTAATATTAATTCTTTTTACTACCACAAGGGGTTACTTTTCTTAGTGATTTCATTGTACAGTTTTAATTTTGTTGAATTGGTTTGACATTATTAGGAAAAGTAATGAAATCATTTATCTATTTTTTCATACTTGTTAATTATTGGCTAGGCTTGGCTTATTGATTAATGTGCAAGGCAAGACTACTGTGAATCCAAAGGTTCATGGTTTGCATCCCACTATTACAAAGTCTTCCTCCGAAGTTTGAGGCTGTGATTGTTCTATAAAAATGACTATCAAATTCCACTATTTACACAAACAAGAGGTGACAGTGGGTACTGCTGACTAGCTGCCTGTCCCCCAGTGGCACTGTGGTAAGTCTATATGCTTATAATGGTAAAAACTGGGTTTCGGTACCTATGGTGGGCAGAGCACAGAACCCATTGTGCTGCACAAGAACCAAAGAAAGATTAGTCACCTTTCATCTAGTCTGTTGGTTAAAAACTTGGTTCAGCAATGTGATGTTAGCTCTTGTGTGTCTTTTCTGGAAAAATTTAAAAACCATACAAACTTGTTAATTATATTGTTAAACAATTATATTTCTCTCAGTACGTATTTCTAAATTGTTTTATTTTTGATGACGAGTATTTTTTCCTCACATTTTTGTTTAAATGAATTAATGAAATTATTTCTACTCATTTCAATCTTTAACTGTCAAAACTAGACGACAAGGAGGTCATGCTAAATTTCATGGCAGTTTTACTTTCAATCGTAAACGAAACACGGTGGAATTAGAGATCAGACAGACAGAGACTCAGTCTCGTGGAATTCGACGTTATGTGGTGAGTGTCATTTCCATTTACACAAGTTGAAATTGTTGTTGAAGTGCTACTTGTTGAGGTCTAGTAAATTTTGTGGTCAGTAATGTGTTGTAAAGGAATGAAAAGAAACAATTATTTACCAACCCAACTATTACAAAAAAAATCATATTGAAGTATCTGTTAGTTTATTGAATAGATGATAATTTGTGGTAAATTATATATCATACTTAGATAGATGCATCCTGCCCCTGAGGGAAAAATTATAGAAAATACATTTGTAATTCTTTTTCCACATGTTAAAAAAACAATTTCAGAGTTGAATTTTATTGAATAAACAGTGTGATTTTTCTGGATTTTGTTTTTGTGGAATTCATGGTCCCCCCACCCATGAGGAAAGTTGAAATAGTGTTGAATGATAGTGCTAATATGAACTTTGATAACTTCTGTACAAATGTAATTTTATCAATTTGAGACAATCTCTACTGGTTGTCATGGTATAATGTAATAAATATGTAATGAAAACTATATTTCTGTTCTTTTCAACTGTTTAAGCCAGTTCAGTGGAGGTTCGTTGTAGAGATTGGAACAAAGTTTTTAATTTGGTGATATGTTGTTATTACTACAGACCTTATTTTCTTTAAAGCTTGTAGAGAGATTGCTTTATCATTTTATATTTTATCTGAGTTATTACGTTGCAATATGATAAGAAAAAAATGTGTTTCATGAAACATGATGAAGTATGCTTAGTTAAGTCATTTTGACAAAATCAACTTTTGGAATTAATGGTCTGCTCTTACCTCTTTCAAGAGTGGAATGACATTTTGGCTTCTGAGGCCTTGTTTTGGATCAACCTGAAGCAGGCCTCAGCACAGAAGTCAAAATGTGGTCCTACTCTACTAGAAACGGGCAGGAACAGACTCAACACTACTTATCAAGTTTTGTTTACATTAGGCCTTATTGACTTAAGTAACTGCTTGAATGGGGAACGTCCTACTCTACTAGAAACGGGCAGGAACAG